CACGGGCTGTTCCTGGTTTTGTTGGAAATGGGTGGTTTGGGAATTTTCTTTTGAAAATGCGGTAAGCTCTATTAGTGCTATTTGATGATTCGTTGGGTGTGGATGATGGTGCTAATGATGCGGTATAAGCAGAAGAGGGTGTAGGGGTAGGTGGGTTTGATTATTCTATTGTGGATGAAATCTGATTTATAGTGGGGGTGTTAAGGTGGAAGGGTTGTTGTTGTAGGGTGACAAAATTATCTAGTTCTTGGGAGATTTGGGGAGTATCTGGAGAATTGAATGATCGGTCTGAATGAAATGAAGAGTAGGTTGGGGTGACTTGGGAAGCGTAAGAGGGTGTAGAAATGGATGGGAGTGGATTATTTGGTGGGATTGGTTGAAAAGGGGGTGTTGAAAAAACTGAGGAGTTGGTTTTAAAATTATTGGATGGAGATGGTTCGGAGTCTGCAAATTCATCAGGGGTTTCAATATTAGGGTTATTGAGTTGTGAAATGGAGTATAAAACTGAAATATGTGAATTAGTGTCTGAATTCATGCCTGATGTTATATTACTGGTTGGGAAATCGGGTGGCGGGAAAGCAAAAAGTGGAATTATTGTAATTGGAGTGTTGAGGTTGGTTGGATGGGAATTTGAGCGGTGTAGGGATCCAAGTTGTCGGCTCATCGTGGGCTAAAAAAATTATTATTTTGAAACTGAAAAGCTGGGGTATGGGGTTGTTCGATAATTTTTTCATATGTATTTTCATCTTGTGAATGATGTGTCATTATATGTTGTATGGGACTTTGTGATATGGTTGGTCTAAAGTTTGGGTTATGTGTTATCGCTAAATTTCGAAAACTTTGTGGGACTAGGGATAATGGATGGTTATGTGGTAGGGGTGGTAACTGTGGTGCTGTAGGCGTTATTTCTATGTTATTATGTTCTTCGTCGTATGTGTTCTGTCTTGTTGTTTTTTTGTATTGTATTCTTTTATTTGTGCGTGTAAAAGAATTTTGTTTATTGATGATGAAAAAATTCCAAAGAATCCTGCAAACAGTATGCGTGCTACACTTGCTTGTCTATTGACTTGTGTGTGTATAGCACATGTGTTATAGATTCCTTTTAAAAGTGAAAAAAGAAATCCTATAAAGTTAAACATTGCGTATAGAATAGCCAATTTTTCTAAGATGTAATAGGGCCATCCTAGAAAATCAAAAATTTCATTTTTTAGTGTGACAAAGCTAAAGATATTTATGGGTGAGATATCTTGTGGTCGGTATTTTTCACCGTTTAGATATATATAGTCTTTTATGTCTTTAAAATATCCGCTATAATCTTGTGTATAAATATCTGCAAATCCTGCGGTTTCGGCAAGTTTGCGTAAATTTTGGTCAATTGATTGTCTTTGTATAGTGTCCATTTGTGTTAATAATTCTTGGAATTGTTGTGTTCTAATGTGATGTTGAATATCGGATTTTGAATATATTCCAGTTGATTGTAGGTCGATATTTGGGTTTCGAGCAATAGCTCTAATGCTTTCTGGTGAAAATTTTTTGAGTGATTGCATTAATGTGGGGTATGGGGTAAGAAGGTATTATTTATCTTCATCAGGGTTCAGTTGTACTACATTGTGGCTATTTTCGGATCCACATGGAACTGCGGTATCCCAGAAATAGGTTCGTCTTGAAAGTGTGTCAACGAAATGTACTTTATTTTTATAAAAGATAGGGATTCTTTTATAGCATCTTTTATCTTCAAAAACATATAGTGGTGATACTTTTTTGGTACAGGTATAAAACTATAAAATGTTTCCTTCATAGTCTAAAAAATTTGATCTATTTCCTGATAGTAAATATCCTGCGTAGGGTATTTTTAATACTGCTAGTGCAAGTGATTGTAAGATTTGTGTCCGTTCTAATTCGCATAGTTGGTGAAGTGTTTCTAATTCAGAGAGTGACATTTCCTGAAAAATTCGGCTAATTGTGTAGTCTAATTTCATATCTAAGTGAATATAATAGTGGATATTACCAAAATAAGTACTATTCATTAGTGATAGTTCTTGTAAACGTGTGCTTCTAGTGTCATGGGGCTTTAGATGTCCACCATGTTGACCTTTACTTTTTTGAAAATTAACTGGTATATATAATGTTTCTTCGTTTAAAGGATGACTTGTGGCGTATGGGTCGATTTTTATTTTTCCAGTGGTCATGTCGAATCTTTTTTCGTATTCAACTAATATTTCGGAGTATTGTGTTTTGTGAAGTGGGGTTCTGTATTTAAATGCAAGTTCTGTTTCTTGACATATTTGAAAACGTGTCAATTTATTTTCTATATTGTGTATGTTTCTAAAGTTTGAACTTTGTTTTCGTGATGGATTTACTTGTTCATATGGAATTGATTGTATAAAATATTTTTCTTGAAATTTTATCATTCGAGCGTGTATTTTTGCTACTTGAAATGTTGTACATGTGTCTTCGGGGAACCAAACAATTGTTGCTTGTGTTCGTGTTGTAGGGTCACAATAGCCTTGATCGTTTTTACAAGGTAATCTAATTCCTTGATAGATCATTGTGTTGTCAGATAAATCGCGTGTGAGTTGTATTTTTTCGAGTTGTATTTTCCAATCGAAAAACACTATTTCTTGATATCCTTTATTTTTTGTATCTGCTTTGCAGTTTGATGGGTTATTTATACCAATGTGCGGTATCCAGTGTTTATCAGGTATGTCATAAGTTAATCTTCCGTGTGCGCCGTTGTATGGGTATTTTTCATCTACTTTTATATGTCCTTGATATCTTTCAAGTTCTGCTTGATGTACAGAATCTGAAAAAACTTGGAAATATACTAACTTTCTATCTGTGTTTTTATTTTTTGTGATATTTAGTCTGAGTAACTCGTTTTTACAATTTTCGGGATTGAGATGTAAAAGTCGTTCGATATTACTCTGGTAGAATGATTCGTGGTCAAGTCGGTTTTTATTTCCATTTGAGACTTGTGAAAAATCTACTTTCTTTTCGGAAAATGTTGCTGTGAATTTATTTCCTATAACTGTTGTTGCTCGGGCTTTTGAATAGAGTGTCGCTATGACATTGGTAGTTTCTATAGCTTGTGGTTCTGTTTCGCATTGTGATACTTGATTTATTGCATATTTGTGTAGTGTTTTTTGTTCATTTTCTTCACAATCGTAATGTGTTACTAATAAATCTTGGGGTCCTGTGCGGGTAAAGGATTTATATTCTGAGTGGAGATTACTAGAAAAAAGAGTTGGAGAAAAATTAAAATTTATAGAATATACATGTGTATGATAATCCTGAATATGGGTTATAAAATGTGATGTAACCAATTGTCTTTTTGGTATATCTGTCGTACTTGTATATTACTTCAGTTGTTATAAATGGTGGTGGTAGTGATTGAGCTGTTATATTTGGTAGGCTTAATGGGTAGGGGTGTTGAGCAATGTTGTTTAGTTGAACTGTGATTTCAAATTTTAATTGTAGACTATTTTGTTGGAGTATTTGGATGTTATGATCAAGAATGTCTTCGTGGATGTTTTGTCTATTTTGTAGTCTATTGAGTGCCCAGTTGTGGAGTCGGTTACTTTCTGGGTGTTGTCCAAATAATGGTGGAGGTGCTGTGAATGTATTCCAGTCTAGTCTTAAAGGAATATTTGTTGATGATTGTTCTCGATATCTGGCGTCGAGGTTATTTGGGAAATTTAAGTTAAAAGGCGTTGGTGAATTCTAGCTTATTGATGGTGTTGATGGTAGTGATAATGTTTCTGGTAGTGATGAGGATGTTGTTGTATCCGTAGAAATATCTATTGGATAATTGATTAAATTTGGTTCACCTTGTGTGAATGATTGTGTTGTCCAATATGGTAGTCGTGATGTTTGGTTTGTGGGGTTAAAGGGATTTTCACGTATTTGTTCAGATGTTGGTGTTGAACTTAAGTAATCTGAGGGTAGGCTTGAGGTGCTACGTTGTGAAAGAAGCGTAGGGGTTTCTGGTAATATACCAATGGGGTTTTCTGGAGTACTTTGTGATGGGGATTGGGGTATGTTAAAATGAACTCGGGGGGTTTGAAAATTTCTGTTTCGTCGAGGATGTATAATTTGTCTATTTATTTCAACTGTATTTTGATTTTGACTAAGATTTCGTATTCTATTTAGTTCTTGTGGTAGTGTTGGGTATAAGTTATATGTTGGTTCACTTAAAGGTGCTTGTCGTTGAACATTACGTCGCCAATCCGTGTTATTTCAATAGTCAGATTTGACTATTAGTGTACATGGATTCCGAATTCAAATGATATTACATGCACATGCCATGGATTCCGCGTTCAAATACTCGCATGGCGGCACGAACAGGCATATACGCAAAATCCCGGAATCCGGGACAATCAATTAAACCACCGAAAATTGGCAAAATCCCGGAATCCATGGTATAGCGAACAATTACTTGAATTTGGAATCCAGGACATGGTCCCGGAATCCGAGCCATTTTTACTCAACCACTAAACAAATAGTTGCTAAGCAAATAGTTGATAAATTCAATACACTATAACTATGGAATCCAAGACGTTGGAATCCAGTGAGAAAAATGGCATGGAATCCAAGACTTTTATATTTTTGAATTAATCTGGCAGAAGTTTACAGTTTTTAAGCAATTTTATTCCATCTTTTTTGTTTAGTTTGTCCTACAAGTTATTATAACTGCAACTATAATATACGTGCTAAAATACTGTATTCCGATGAAAAAAGTTGTGGGTGCAATCGTTTGATCAAACTTAGTTATAACTACTAACTAATTAGTTACTAAGTATTTAGTAATTTCGAGCGTGCCGAAATACTGTACATGTACTTCAATGAAAAAAGTTGTGGGTGCAAATGTTTGAACTACTACTAGTAGTAACTACACGTATGTAACATACAGGATGTTGAACATAAAATATATGGAACTTCCATTGAATGGGTGTAACACAACTTGAAAAGTTTCTAAGGTAAAAAAGCTGAGCTTGTGAACCTCACATGTTGAACATGTATCGAGCAACTTTATCGCCATAATCGTATCGTAACTGTTCGAAAGGCTCAATGTTTCTTCGGGCTTTGAATACAGCTAATCGTTTTGGCGGATCGAAGGCATTAAGAACAACTTCTATGATCTTCATATTCGCATCCAAATTCTTCTTGGAGTTTAGCGTGCTGTGATTAGCCAGTCGACCAAGACAGCGGTTGGTTGGATGTTCAACACACACTTCTGAAGAAGCATCGATGAAACGCTTCACAGGCGCGCCAATTTCCAGCACAAATTCAGTCGGAACAGAACGGTTCCTTATCAAATCTTGATATGTTTTATCTGTCACAGCAACCCCATGGTAGTCCATGATAATATCATCCTTCTGGAAGGCCTGTGTGCTGACAACGCCTGAATCAGAAAATGTTCAACATTTAAAGTTTACTCTATATTATGTAACAGAGTTACATGGCATTTTTCAATGGAATTCAAAAAACTGTATTGGTTGAAAACTTTATGACGTTTTAAAACTTTAAACTATAACGTTTATATCAAAAAAGAAATTTTTTTGAAAAAGAAATTTTTGAAAGTTTTGGAAACTTGTCGTCAACGTTTTCAAGAAACGCAAGATTACCTCTTCCGAAGGTAGGGAAAACAACATCACAAATGCCAACCCATTCTTGCGTATCACATCTGTGGGCCAGAAGCGTTTGTGCTTCCAATGAAAGAAAGTTTCCAGTGCCTTTATAACTAATGCCGCTGGAATCAGAAAGCGGCTTTTGTTGTCGCTTGCTTTTCTCTTTCTGCAGCATGGCGATTTGGGACATGACTTTCTTTAGGTCGTGATGAGTTTCCCATTTGTTTCGCTGGAAAAAACCCGACACGCGCGTCTCCGATACAACAAAGTTTGGATACTGTTTCACAAAAGCTTGTGCTCTAATTGTCTGTCTAATGTATCTTTGTTGATCTTGTCTACATCGCACAGCTTTTTCAACATCTTTGTAGGTGTGATTGACAATCTGGAAAAACGTGAGCGTATTGTTTCATACATCCAATTGATAAATTGTGATACTGTATAAAAAAACTGTGAAGTACAAATCAGCTGAAACAGTCGAAACTTTCCGAAAGTTTCCGAGTCGAAACGTTTTTTAAATTAAAAAATTTCTTGGAAAATCAAAGTAGTACCTTGTGAATTTCCTGCGTTTTGTGTTTCACCAGTTGAAAGGCAGGATCTTTTGACAAAGGCATGAATTTTGCCACTTGACGATCGAGCAATGTCTTGGGTCGCTTAGCAGGCTGCATTTGAGCAGAAATCTAAACAGATCCTTCTAGAACGAATTCCCCGTTGTGTTCAAATCATATTAGGAAGTTCAACTTCCACAGACTTATAAGTTAAAAGTTTAAACGTACCATGTCAGAAACTGTGGCGGCAATTCTATTCACACGAAACTTGGTGTTTCCACTGGAATTCACAAAAAAAAGTTCTGTTTTGACTTGGATTGGTTGCTCAGGGAAAGATCGGGTGAAAGAAATCTTTTCTTCCGGGACACTCTGAGGTAAGAAATGTAGTCGAACTTCAGTGTGATAAAGTTTCAAACCCTGTACGAGCCATCGCGGCAAAATGTGATTCGAACGTTCAGTAGACACTAAACAAACAGTTTCACAATTTTGAAAAAAAGTTATACGGAAGAAATTCAAGATGACTCACTTTCACTTGGTTCAATTGAAACCGTTATACAAGTATCGTCCTCATCTGACAATACCACAAACGCTTGTGCAACTGCATGAACAGACATGCAGCTTATGGTTTTTTCTAGCATTGATGGCACGACATAACAGCATAAGAAGGCTGTCACAAGTTGAAATAACGAAACACGTTGTTTATGGGTTAAAAAACCCGATTCTTGGAAAGCATCCAAGTGCTCTTTAACAAGTGTTTCGATTTCTTGCCTCTCGCAATGTTCATTTTGGTCGTCTTTGGACGAAGCAGCTTCAAGTTGTTTTTGAACGCGTGCAAGTTTTGCAGCTATCTAAACTCAAAACAAAAACTTTTAGTTGAACTACAAAAGTGAACAAAAACATTAGCTGAAAGTTTCCAACTCTTCACGGTTTGAGCAGCAAAAGGAATCTTACCTCGGTTTGCGAGTCATTGTTCGTTGGAATAACTCGTTTTGCCATATTCTCAGATGAAGAATCAGTCGGAGGCTCTGTACTTGAACTGTCAGCCTGAGTGGCAGTCGCCGACTGCGGCGTGAACAGAGGTATTTCCCATGACAAAGTTGTTGATGAATGCTGGTTTGAAGGAGTTGATTCTGAAGGTTGATAAAAAAAAAACGACTGAGTTCTGTTCCATTGGCAGTGTAATCATCATGATGATCAGTGGGCTGGCTGGCAATTTGATTTCTATGAAAAAACGCGGGTTCAAAGTGTGGATACACCACTGGCATTGGGCTAATGAAGTTTGAATACCCTTCACTTCGAGAAGACACTTGCTGCGGAGTCTCCAATGTGTGGTAAGTATTGTCATTATGATTAACATCTGTAATAATTGTACAAGGTTCAGCATAGGGCATAGGTCGGATGGGGGTTCCTAAAGGAACTTCCACAGATGGGTGCTGTGCAAAATTTTGGTCGAAACTCCGAGATGTACTACATCTGTTAGTAACAGACTGTTGACTAGATGGAGGTTCATTATGATCTCTATGGAAAACAGGAGTTTCAAGTTGCGCAGTATTCACAGCAGGAAGTTCGGAGTCCATAGTTCAGGTTAACGAAACTTGGAATGAAATGAGAAGTGACTAGAAAGGATTGCAGAATCGAATGGTGTTACTAACAACTTACTAATAATAGTATTTTTCAATAATTGAAGTTCAATTGGTGTTCAATTGGTACTCAAATTGGTTTTGATAATATGCCATATTATACTATATTATATTATACAGTGTATAATTGACTCTTAATTGATAAATTACTGCAATAATATAAGATAGTATAATATGGCATATTATCACAACCAATTTGAGTACCAATTGAACACCAATTGAACTTCAATTATTGTTTCAATAGTCGTTTTATGCGGTTGAACATAAATGTTTAAATTGGTTGTTAAAAAATATACTCATCATGACAATTACTCATCATGAGTACAATGATTGTACTAAATATTATTCATTTAGATAAAATCGCTCATACAAGATGCTTCCATCATTGTTCAAGGAAAAAGAAGAAGTGCAAGTTCTTGATGAAGTGACGCACATTTGGGAAGCCGCTAGAATACTGGGTTTCATTAGTAACTGGGGTGTGAGTGTCAAATGGACTGAATGGAAGGGTCCACCCGTACAGATAACAATTCCAGAAGACCTTCGCGACAATCGGAGGATGAAACATTGGAAAATAAGAAAGACAATCAAAGTTGTTGAAGAGCCAGATAGGGCTAAAAGAAGAAACAAAAAAGATCCACTTCTGTTCAACCCAAGACGCTTAACTCGCAATACAGATGTTTTTTTCTGTGCTGCTTGTGAAACAGATTGCGTTGACAAATGCATTCTGATGACAGGGGTTGTACTGTACAACGATCCTTTCAAACGGGAATGTACATTGAGAATTTTGGACTCGCAGCACGATGAAAACCCCCGAGAAGAACCAGAGGCTAACATATTGGTTGTAAAATACAATCAACTTCGAAATCAAGGGCTCTGTGAAGATACGCTTACATCTGAGGTACTTATTCGCTTTGAAAAACATCTTTCAAAACATCACTCGGAAAGAAGTTCAACTTCAAAAGAAGTTTTTTTGAATAGCTGAAATTGAAAAACATATTTTAACTTCATTCATAATCTGTTTGAAATCGTGAATTGTTTCAGACATCTTTTTGTGACACGACTACTTTAGTTTTGGAGCCATGTGAGGTTCAGGATCATCAACGTAATCCTACAAAAAGAGCTAAAAAAGACGAAAAAGAAATTGACATGCTGACACTTCTCGAAGCCACTTGTTCCAACGGTGTCCTCAAGGTTTGTTAACAAAATAATTACAAGCATTGGAAGTGTGTGCCGCAATTTTTTCAGATGTCATAAAGTTAGGAATATTTGTCTCAGCGCCCGATCAAAATATTTTGTATAAAAATTCAATTCTTTGTTTCTCAGGTTGGATCAACTGCTTTCTATGGAGGGAAAAATTGCAGAGTAGACAGCTTGGAGTTTGAAGGAAGGACAAAAAAGGCCTTTGCACAGTTGACATGCTTAAATAACGAGGACATTTCTATATGATGCCTGCACTCTTGGTTCAGCTAGCTTGTGAAGACTACCTCAAGGTAAAGTTTTTTTAATGAAACATTCCGAATTTTTATTGTCCCCGATTCCATGAAATTTAACAATGCTTACGACTGAGAAATAAAACTAGGAAATCATGTTCAAACCTTTAGCCATAAGGCCCGGAATCCAGTGTCAAATGACAAAACATTGCCAATTTTTATCACCGGCTAAGGCCTACAATTTTCATTTGAAACATTCCGAATTTGTCACGTCCCGGATTCCATTGAATTTAACAATGCTTACGACTGAGAAACGAACTAGGAATTCATGTTGAAACCCTTAGCCATAAGGCCCGGAATCCAGTGTCAAATGACAAAACATTGCCAAATTTTATCACAGGCTAATGCCTACAATTTTTTTTATCGTTTTCAAAAACTGAAATACTTTGTTCAAAAGTACAGGATTTTGCCACGTGAAAACAGGCTAATGCCTACAATTTTTATCGTTTTCAAAAACTCAAATACTTGTATTCAAAAGTACAGGACTTTGGCACGTGACTAATTTTGTAACATTTCAGCATGAAACGTGTGACTTCAATGCAATTGAACATCCAATCAATTTATCGTTTGCGGTGTTTTCCGCCTTGAAACGTGCTGTTGGACTGGCTAGGGACAAAAACTCCATCACTTTCAATCTTGGACCCGTGACCAAACTAACAAGACAAATAATGGGTTTTTCGACAGAATCCCAAAAGGAAGTGGTCAAATTTAGTGCAGCAATATCCGAAGGAATTTGAGGCTGCCACAAATCTTGGGATTCTGTGTTGGGTAGCAGGTGGGATGTATTGCCCGCACAAAAAGACAATGGTCATGATACACTTATAAAGTATTTAAGGATTACAGAACACCGTGAATTCACAAGTTTCAACTTACGATGCAACGTTCAAACGTGCACAGGCCACTACGCAAGTGAAGAAGACTACCGGACTCTTTTTTCACACAACTTAGAACAGTCAAAACCCCATTATTTTTATTAGTTCAACTAGTTCAAAGTTTCAGTGTTTTCGCGTGAATGTGATCAATTAAAGTTTCATAATCTTCAAACCTTGACAATGTAACTTTTTTCAAATCCGAAAATTGGCAATCAATTTTTTCTCTCTATTAAATGAAAAGAAAACAAATTGTTTGCAAACACTTCAATTGGAAATGTTTCTCATGAGGCTCATAGTAAGAGCTTTAAGCTATGTTTTTTGACAGTGTCAGTACAAGCAGTACTGAAAAAAAATTACAGTATAATCATAATCCTCATCATAACGTCATTCAATGACGTAAGTTATAAATTATCATCATAAAGTCACTTTGACGGTCACTCACAGTGATAAATGCGCGCCGCGAAGGAGTTGAAAAGGCGTATTTACACAGAATTTGGAAGAAAGTGGACTCCACATCGAATGTTATTGTTTCATGTTCGAATAACCGAGAGAAAAATAACACGTTAAATGCGGTCGCTAGGGAGCAGAAGATTTTTTTGAGCAATATTCAGTGGTTGGCATAAACGGCTGTCAGGTTGAAGGATTTGCCTTTAACTTTTTGTTTGGACTTGGGGCTGGACTGACTAGGACACAATCATGTTGCCTCATCATCATCATGAGTTCGATTCGCTTTTCCAAAAGTTCAACTTTAGAGAAGTTGTTACCCAGGTTCGAAGAGTTTCCAGTTGCAAGTAATTTATCCTGGAAAACAATACTGGATGACATCAAAAAATATATTCAACTTTATACTATAAATTGTGTGAAAAATATTCAATATTTCAACTTGAGCATAATTTGTACGTACGTTGTCTTTTACTAGGGAAACATGTTGTGCAAACGATGAGTCGTGTTTTTTCAGAATTTGAAACACGTCAAAAATTGCCGCGAGCTCATCGACATTTGCGTCGGATCCATCTCTGTAAACAAATTCAAAAATTTCAAAAAAAATAGATTTTGTCATATTATTCCAATTATTGATTTTGAGGTTACATTAGTATAAACTTCAACCACAGATTTTCACAGTTGACTCTTTAACATGATGTTAAACTTTCAAAGATGTTAAACGACTCACTGTACTCGAGACACAATATGAGTAAGCGCAAGGAACGAGAAAGAAGGGTAGCATTCAGTGAACTTTGTTTTCTGAACGCGTTCTGTCTTGAAGGTATCAGCGGCCAGACGAAGATGATTCTTGAAAATGAAGTTAACTCCATAGGCGGGGCTATCAAGAAGAACGTCTTACATCCTTTCAGTAGAATATAGAGGACTGATGTGCTGGAAAAATCTTGGTGGAACATTGTCACAGCGGCATCTTGAGAAATGAGAAGAAAGTTGGACTCTTTATTGGGCCGATATGCTGCGGGCAAACTTTTTGAATGAATGTGTCCCAGCGAGGTACTCAATAGGAATGACGGTTGTGTAAATTTTGTGATTTTTTGATGTGCGGCATCAGCGTCAATAATGTTGTAAAACATGGGAGGTATTTTTCTGAACAACTGATCCACCTCTTTCCATCAATTATCCTTGTTTGTTCCTGGAATGGTTCAATACTATAACTTAGTAAGAAATTAGAAATTGAATTGAAAAAATTTCGGAAAATCATCCAGAGACATTTCAACCTCAACTTTCAGTGAATGAATGAATGACGGTCATGATAAAAATTTTATACTGGCAACCTTTGTTGGCAAATCTTTTGAAAAGAAAGCGTACTAAAGCGTTAGTAGTACTAACCCTGAAATTCGAGTCGTACGAGCGGAGGGTTAATGGTTTTTTGTAACCTTCCAATAGAAGCTTCATGAGTAAGCGCAAGGAACGAGAAAGAAGGGTAGCATTCAGTGAACTTTGTTTTCTGAACGCGTTCTGTCTTGAAGGTATCAGCGGCCAGACGAAGATGATTCTTGAAAATGAAGTTAACTCCATAGGCGACAGAAACGCCTGTCGTCTCCACCATATGAATCATATTCGCTGGCATGATTAAACCTTGTCGCGCTTTCAGCGTGATAGCTTGGCACCCTCCCATATTCAAGCCTTCATGGGAACCGAAGAAAAATTTCCTTCGGGGCTGCTGCAGGAACTGGTTGAAGAGATCCTGGTTGATGCTCGTCGGGGCTATCAAGAAGAACGTCTTACATCCTTTCAGTAGAATATAGAGGACTGATGTGCTGGAAAAATCTTGGTGGAACATTGTCACAGCGGCATCTTGAGAAATGAGAAGAAAGTTGGACTCTTTATTGGGCCGATATGCTGCGGGCAAACTTTTTGAATGAATGTGTCCCAGCGAGGTACTCGATAGGAATGACGGTTGTGTAAATTTTGTGATTTTTTGATGTGCGGCATCAGCGTCAATAATGTTGTAAAACATGGGAGGTGTTTTTCTGAACAACTGATCCACCTCTTTTCCATCAATTATCCTTGTTTGTTCCTGGAATGGTTCAATACTATAACTTAGTAAGAAATTAGAAATTGAATTGAAAAA